TAATGAAAGACCAGTTGACCCATAAAACTTTTTCTTTTTCTAAAGTATAAAGTTCAAACAAAAAAAAAGTACTATTCATTACCATCCATCATAATTTCCATTGTATTTAAACAATCAGAGCAAACTCGTGGCTCTAATCTACATTCATGATGAATAATATGCATACAAATTTTCAGATTTTTGCTACCTATGCTAGCTGAGAAACGTTTGTCCACTACTTTATATACATATATATTTACCCGATAAAACCAACGGAAATTTGTTTTTTATCTTGATGTAAACGAGAAAATTGTCTTAATAATTGTATTAATGCTTGTTTACCAAATGATTTTCTCATATTAGCATGAAATGCAAGTGTTGGATATGAACGAGAAAGTATAGCTACCCATCGTTGTGTAACCCATACAGGAACCAAATCACATTTATTTAAAATAAAAATTAAATGTTTATAAGCTTTTTCTTTTTTTAAATATGATTCAACTTGACGACATCGTGTACCTTCAGGATTTCGTGCATCAAGAACTTGAATAACAACATCAGATGAATCAATAACCTATAAATATTAAAATATTCTATTTGAAAATCTTTCTTAAATATTTTATTACTTTATAAAGTTCTTTCCATATACGTTTACTTTGTCCAGCTTTAAATAATGGATTAATAGTTTCTTGTTTAATTCCATCATGTTCACGAACTAAATCAAGATCTTTATCTTGATCATATTCATTTTGTTTTTGTTCAACATGAACTACTAATGCTTCCATATCATCACCACCGGCAACATTTGATGGTCGTTTTCGTTGTGATTTAGGTCCAAATGTTGATTCATATGATTCAACATCAAGTATATGAACACGTTTTTGTTTACCTTTTTCATTTAATAATGTAACCGGTAATTGAGTTTGTTTCATAACAACTTGATATGGATCAGCAAGTGTTGTTGATAAAGCTGCTTGAAATTTTTGTAATGAAGTTTGTGTAACAACACGACTATTATTAAACCATTGACGATTAGGTGCAACACGAGCTTGTGTACCAGATGGAAGTCGTTCTTGAAATAATGCTGATTGAACAATTCTTCCTGATGGATCGCGTTTTGGTTTACCACCACGATACATTTGTAATCGTTTAACGGTCGATTGTGAACGAATTTTAGCACCATTGATAGATGATGTAGTCGCTTTCGATGAAGAACGATTCTTTAATGAAAGTGAATGTGATGTTGATGGTGCTTTGCTAGGTGATGATTGATTTTTTCGTTTTTTATTTTTTGACATGATGGTAATTATCTACAAAAGATAATAAATTTACAAACTTCAATATACAATAGAATATTTGAAAGAATCCGAGCTTTTTTTATTGTAAGGGACATTAATTAAAAGTGTAGAATAAATTCATTTGAAAGATAATCTTTCATAATTTAAAAATGTGCATATAGTGGTAGCACACACACAGGCTGAGACCTATGGAATGATCGAACCAATATTAAGAATTCACTAAAGAGGGCGCTGGACACAGAATATCTTTCTAAAGATTCTTATGTTCATGATTCGCACTCGTAAACAGATATGAAGATTTTGTTTTATCTGAATATTATTGTCCAAATCAATTTTTCGAGATTAGTGTTGGTAAGCGGTACTAAGCGTACGATAGTAGCTATTCGAACCAATAAAATATGATAAAAGGGAAAAAAAATGTGATCCATTGAACATTAAGATTCCATGAGATACACTAATGGTGTCGTCAACTATCGAGACGAAGCAGTTATGCCGCAGCAAATTTCGGTGCTCTTCGAAAGAGTATAGCTGTTTATGCCATTAAATATTAACAGAATTTTTTTCCATGCCAAAACTGAACATCAGTGACATCTAAGTGCATTTGATTTCATCTTCTACACATAATTGTCTTGGTCTAACTATACAAGATAAATATATGAGGTATTACTAATTTATTCTAGGAAGATCGTGTTCCAAATATACTTTGAACCATTTATCTGGCTGGGATGGTCTAAGAAGAGTCAAGAATATAATAATTTTGACATATAGCAATATTTTTCGCATGACATAGACCTCTCATAATGAGTGGAATCATCGATTTTAAAGTAAATGTAAAGAGATCCTTTTTATTCTTTTCTTTCTTTATTAAATAATGTGAAATAATGAATAAAAATGTTTTATCCAAGCTGGAAGTATCATAAACTCTATATTATATAAATTTCAATTAAGACCAGATCAAGCCCTCTCTAGAATGTCTAGCAAGTTGATAAAATGTACTATTACGTCATAAGAGTAGACTGACGTATAGGAAAATAAAGTGTTCCACATAAAAAGCAATGTTTTGATGGAGAAAACGCCATGTTCCATACAGACAGATTTTTTATATTTGTCTTTTGCATACAGATAAGAAAGATGGAATCAAGAACAGAAGTGGAAACACTTTGCTTTCTAACCGAACAAAATCAATCTAGTTCTTGTTTGAAACACCCTTCACTTAGTTTCAACTAAAATTTATATAATACAGATCTCACGATGCTGTTCCAAATTGAATAAAACATTCTTTGTCATTATTTCACATCGTTTCCTACAGAAAGAAAAGAATAAAAAATGCTTTCCTGGCATTTATCGAAAAACTAATGAATTCTTCCATTATAATCAAATATAAAAATGAATTAATGCCACCATTCTTCATTATTTGATTGAGAATTCGAGTCATTTTTTCAGCATTAATACCATCCATCGAGAGATGCACAAGTGATCACAGCAGAATTAGCAGTTTGAAATTCTGAAAGGCTTAGATAAGTTTTTGAACTCTAGAGATAAATCTATCTCATAGTTTTGATCAAGAATCATTCCTTCTATGTCTATCGCTTCTCTAAGGATCATGTACTAGAGCTAGGTAATGATGGCATTACCTATTTTCTGTCTCATGCAGTGTTTAGCGGAAACGATTTTTTCTCGTATTTTTTTCCCATTCCATTTACCGTGAGAATCGAGAACGAGAATAATATTAAAAATGGACATTTCCAAAAATCATTTTGTTTTGCCTTATGCATATACTCTGTGAACTTTGTTCTTTCAAAGACTTTTGCATTGCTTATTAATTAAAAAAGAAATAAAAAAATATTGGTTAACAAAAATTAGATAAATTCATTCATTATTCATTAGAATGTGATTCGATTGTAACAATTATTATTTACTTGGTGATCATCATCTTCGAAAGGAGTATTTTTCAGATTATCTCGCAAGATAACATTATTATTACCTTCTCCTCTTGAATGTTTTCATTTTTCAGTGATATTGTCGATGTACTAGCCTTTTTTCAATTGTTCATATTGATGAAGAAAATAATTTTCTTAACTTAATGTTGATAAGCTTTGCCGTATAAATAATAATTGATTTATTTTACTAAAATACACCTCCAAAGATAATTTTATTTTTGATTGAAGATCATCTCATGTTGCACGAAGTGCGACGTTGATAGAAACTAGTGTCTCGTAATGATAGTTTATCTCAAACGCGTATTAGAAAAATGTTGAACACATGAAGAGTTACCAAATTGAAAAGTGAAAATTAGGATTTCTACTTTTAGGGTAGTCTAAAATTTTATTCTCATTGTTTTTATTCCTAATGTTGGCCTGTTTTAGTAGAGATATCTGTTGTGTATTAAATTACTAATACAAAATTTTACAAGTGTCTATTGTAGAAAATTCTTAATGAATTTTTTTCTTCATCTCTATTTTCAAGTGAAAAAACTGTGTATATGCTCATAAATAAAAACTTGTTTGTTATTAGATCTTACTACAACACAAACTCATGATGAATTAACTATTGCCTATGGACAAGGCTATGTTTCATTTCATATAGTTGCTGATTGGCTTCATCGATTTTCAAGTGGACGAGAATCGTTGAAAGCTGATCGTCGAAGCAAGCGATCGTCTGATAACCGTCATGACTCAACAAAAAATTGATGCTATTAAAGATCTGATAAATGATCAGCCTTATATAAGTACTGCTTATATTGCTACCATCTTAGATTTATTATGTAGTAGTGTAGATACTATTCTCAACCAATACCTTGGCTAACGAAAAATATCATCCAAATAAATATTTGAAAGTACACAAGCTTTTGAGAACGTCAGAAACTAATTGAAAAAACTTTTTTTTGTCATAGTTGGATAGATCTTGTCGAATTACCTCTAAAAATGTTGTTTTCTTTGACATACATTCTACCAAAATTGTACAATTTAATTCGATAATTGAGAATGAAACAATTACAAATTTAATAGATATAATACAATGAAATGTTCAATAACACCAACACATAAAAAAGCACGGATTGTCAGTTTCCATTCCAGTAAAAGGAACTAGATGATCAATGTCAGGTCAGTTACTTGATCAGGAACTGCCACATGTATAATTAGCTTTTAAAATATTAGATCTTGAAATCGTTGTGTATTATTTCGAAAAAAAATAAAGTCTAGCTTTGTGCATGTTTAGATTAAATTTGGAATTAATAAATCATAATTTGCAAATTGTCTTCCTTCATTATGTTTTCCTCCGCTTTCTAACCATAATCGAATTTTCAATGTATGTGTTTCTAGTTGTGCTTGTTCAATCTCTCTCATATCTGTGCATGCAGGCCCATGAGTATGTTGTTGTACGGGTGGTTCTGTACTCTTATGGTCATTAGATTTCGATGTTGGATCTAATTCAATCATAGGAGAATCTTGTTTTTTCGATCCAAAATGACGATGAAAGAATCCACTTTTAATCGTAGTATAAATAGAAGGATCGATTTCTTGACATTGTTCAAAATAACACCAATTTCTATTCGGACGTAATTTTTTATGCATCAATCTTCTTCCAGTATCAGGCGAACGTTGAAAAAAATCGATTAATTCTTCTACAGTATTTTCAATAGGATACCATTTTGTTTTACCAAAATGAGCCATATGAATAGCAATTGAAGGTGGTGGTAAATTGACAATAGCTGATGATATAATTTGATACATTAATTTATTATCATGTATTGGAGCTATATCATTGTTCGTATGAGTTTTAAAACGACTAATACCACAACAATGTACATCACCACTAAAAAATGTTATTCGTACTTTTTTCTTTTGAGCAATTTCTTGAAAACGTTGAAGTACACGATTACGTTCATTAATATGTGCTCCATGTGTCCATTCATCAAGAAGATCATCATAAAGTTCAGGTAAACCGAATACTGAATTTGTATTTTTAACAATTGGAACATTCCGACATCTATTCGGAAGATTTTTTAAATGTTCGAGAATAGTTTCTGTTAATTTAAAACGAATAAATGAAAATGGTACAGGAAAGATAATGATTAAGTGTGATACATTCATAATATTATTTTCTAATTTTTCAAATATCATATCCCAACTTCTAGCATCTTGAACTGTTTCAACGTCGCGCTCTGTACGTCCATCAGCACCAATAATAGCTAAATTAGGACCACAATGTGTTAGAAAATTATATCCTTGATATCCGAATAAATCATGATCATGCGCTTTTTCTACTGTTGTATGATGTTGAAATAGAAGTCTCATTTTTTGTGCTGTTTTAAATAAACCTGTCATCATAGGACTATCATGAAGTAATGGTGGATATGATCCTGCACCATCAAATATATCATGGTCATCCCACATCATTATACTTGGTATTGATGCTAATGCATTTTTAACTTCAGGACGTTCCCAATTTTCAACATATGTATTGAAATGATATTCTTCTACTTGTTCTCTTAAATCATCTTGAAAATCACATGTCCATTTAGTGTTCCATTCCATATCGGCCCAATGTTTTAAAAATGGAATATCTTCAAATATAAAATCAATATAAGTTTGATCACCACCCCATATTAAAAGATGAAGTGGAGTTTCAGCATGAATAGAATTTAAATGATCCCATACATTTCCAAATTTAAGTTTAGATTTCGCATCTTCGGGTACTGTAGCATCAAATCCATTACATGAGAAAAAACCTCCACGCCATTTTTGATTATAACGAGCAATACGAAATAAACCTTCGCTTATATGATCATTCCAATTAATTTTCCATTTAATTTCATCGTCATCTTCTCCTTGACGTAATTCAATCGATATATTTATTCTATATATTCGCATATCGAAAAGATTATCATATAATACTTCCCAATTATAATCTAATTTTGGTATACAATTAAATTCAATTTTTGGACGTTCGAATGAAACATGACGAAATACTAATGCACTACCAAGCCATAACATTTTATTTAAATCAGTTTTTATAAAATGATAATAAGGTCCTAATGCAGGTGCAGGTCGTTTTGGTGGATGACTAATAGCAGGTGATTGATCAATTGTATGAGAAGGAGAAAGCATTTCTTTTTATTTTGAAGTGACAATTTTTAGTTTAGGACAATTCACTACTACCTTGAAATATTTGAATTAATCTAAATCACCATGCTGATCTGAAATGGCAGCAACATCTAGTTTATTATTATTATTTTTTTATGATGTTTTAGTTGCTATTTTAATATAAAAATTATCAAGCGTTGCCCTAGAAGAAAAAGAAAATATTATTTACCACCATTAAAATTAAATTGCTCAATATTTATTTAATAGAAGAAAATGTATTGAAAAACTTAAACGATAATTTATAGTAGAGAACTCAGGCTATTTCCATTTTGGAAAATTGTACACTGTTTAATACAATAGTTCATGAGCTTATAGGTGTCGAGTTTTACTGATTAAAAAATCTTATACATTATTTTCTCAATTTAACGTATCGATCACAATGTTTTTCTTATTTCGAATGCATTGATATTTTGATATGAGAAAAAGACTATCGATTGTAAATGCTTTCCATTTAACTATTATGCATTATATTTTTTATGAGATTGATTACACTATGAGAAAAGAATATTTATAGAAAGGAAAATTAAGGTAATGTCAAGAGGATAAGTTATGAAAAGTTAATGAATCCTCAACTATCTCAAAAGACATTTAAGTAGTCAATATTCAAGAAGAAAAAGTATAATCACATCTATTTTTAATCAAAGTCAGTCTGATATTAGATATTTTTGCGTAAAAGAATAAATTTATTATTCTTCATTTTGAAAAGATGAAGAAAAGCACTTAAAGGCATATATATTTCCACACATCGTGAAATAAATATCGAACAAATATTTTAAAAAAATTACCGAATATATTGCTGTTTAATTTCAATCAACCTTTGCATTCACGTATAGTATAAATACGTTGAAGTCTTTACTTCCGTTTAAAAATAACGTTAATAGAATTTTTTTTTCTTACTGCAAAGCATACGCTACTCGTCCTTCTCGTATAGAATTTTCTTTCTTTGTCTTTTATTTGATTTCCATTTAACTAAACACGGCACATATTCTTGTCCAGAGGCATTTTTCGGAAGCTGAAGTTACTAGGAGAACGAGAACAATGCACATATATATTACTAATTGTTTGAAAATTTCAGGTTGCTATAGAATAAGCTTCATACATGAATACTATACAAAACTTTACTTATTGTTCTGTTGCTTTAAAGATAGATAGATAGATATATTCAATTATTCTAATCACATGAGACATATAAGTAGCTTTCGTCTACATTTTTTTTTTTGGAGTACATGGAATGATGATAATGGTTCTAAGCACTATTTTAGCGATAGATGTCGTAGATCAACAGTTTTAGGATAGCAGGAAAAAAAAGATTTTCTCAAGTTCTTTTAATTCATATACATGAAACATCCATCGAAAATAATATAAACGAAAGATTTCAGCTAGATTTCTATGAAAAGCACGCCAATGTTGATTTAGGAAGCATTCTAAACTATAATGATAAAAAAACTCTCGAATCTAAAAGGTTACGATGTGTAGAGATAAGGCAAACAACAAGGTTCACCGTTTCATGTCAGACTGTGATAGACAGAATTACCTCTTATAATCTAAGAAATAGGCAACTATATTTGAAATATCAACAAAAAGAAGATGAAATAAAGTGGTACTTAGATTGATTATGATAATACAGGAAAGTTTATTGAGTTGTTGTCATAGCAAGGAAAAACTACTTCTTATTATGTATTTTGATATAATTACTCTTAGTTCTTCGTCGCCAAAAAAATGTCATTCAAAACAAAATTTTCAAAGTATACTAAATAATATTCACGTTCCTAACCAAAACTTAAATTTTTAGATGACAATATTAAAAGTTGTCAAGAAAAGGAAAATTTATCTATATTTTTGAATATTCTTCTTCTTCATATATAAAAAAAGATGGTTCGATAAATAAGACATTATTTTCAGATATGTGTTGATAAACCATGGGCATTTTGATTATCTTTGGATTTTTATACCCTCATTGAAATTAATTTGAATTCAACGTTATGAAAAAAAATGTCACAAGAATAAGATCCAAAACAACATATCAGCTAACTCTAATATTATCTTGTTATCATCATTCAATTCAAAAAAAAAGAACTCAAAATTTATCATAATTTTCACCAAAAACTCCGATCTGTCAAAGAATTATATAATATACTGGAAATGAATTCTCACAAAACTTTGAATAAAACTTCATAACAGAAAAGAAGAACAATTTTTTAAAAATAGTTACGAGTGACAGTCGTTCGAATAATGATATAAACTTTTTCATACACCGAACATGATCAGAATAGTGTAAAAACTTATCAAGCAACAATACTTCTTTTGTTCTTATTATATTACATAGTACTGAAAGCAAAAACGTCTACGAATCAAGTATAAAAAAAAATGAAAATTCTTCAAAGAAAGCATGATATAGTAAGAGTTTAACGAACGCAAGATTACGTATCCTTTGATAAAAAGCTAAAAATAATATAAAATCTGAAATTCAATCTAATAAAGTAACAAAAATTTTGCTGAACGTTCAAAAATAGCTGAAAAAAGGTAGAATTAAATCTTCTTTAATTATATATTTCAATTATTATTCCTGTTCGTTCTTTTGAAAGTACTTGAAAGAAAATATTTCTTCGTTGTTATCATTAAAATTTTTTTATTTATTATTCATCTTTGGATAATCAAAAAAACAATTATCAAAGAAATGTTTAGGTCATCATATTTCCATATTAAGTAATAATAAATTGTAGTATTCAGATAGGGTAGCAAACAACATTGCTACTGCTAATATGATCAAACGAGACATCACATCAGAGATAGCTCTATCGTACTAAATTAACAAATTAACTTTAATCGATAACAAACAATTTATTGATCAATTGGATAAAATAAAGAACTAACAAAAATCTCCAAACAAAATATGTTATAGTTAAGTATGTTTGAATATTCTTTATTGCACAGCTAAGTAAAACTGTATTATAAATAAAATATTTGTAAATCACAAAAAATTTAATGTATAATATGATGATAACACAGATTGATATGAACACTAATAATTTGGTCAAATCGGTCATTCTGTCGTATTTTCTCTATTTATAATTAAAAGATTCCATGACTAGTATCTTCATAATAAAATCTTATAAATTCATTTCACATTTTATTCGAGTTATGTCTTAAAAGAACAGACAAAACATGATGGCTTTGTCTCTTTTGTAATGTTAAGCTTACTTAATCATTAGTTTATTAATGATGCTAAACAAGGATAGAAATATTCGACTTATAGTTAAAATATTTCTTCATTTGTGTGCGGTCCTTAATTCAATTCAAATCATAGACGATATTAACTGACAGTAGTCAATGATAGAATTGTAATGGAAACGCACGACGTATGACATAGGATAATGTTAGAAGATTAAAATAAAATGAAGTACCGTTTTCAATAGCTATGTTAAAACATTACTATTATTAATTTCGATATTTTCTTTGTCTATCCAAGTTAACCATCAATAAATAAAGTGAAATTCATTTGAAAGAAATTTCTTTTGAACTCTTGTTTTAGATTCATATATCAAAAAGTAAAATCATTAATTAAAACTGACTTAACTCGTTTCGTCTTTCATGTATGGTATATTTATGCGTAAATATAATATTTATGCGTAAATATAATATTTATTAATTAGAATAGTTTATTATGCTGACAAAAAAGCGGTTCACGCTGTTTTTACATTCACCCATGAAATAATTGAAGTCAAAAAAGACTTATTCATTCTCATGATCTGCAATTTGGAGATATTCCTGTGAATGACTTGAGCTCTCAGTAGTATTCTAATACTTTCTATAAAATAAAGTCATCAAGAAATTATTTTCTTGCAATCAAATTATAGCTCAAGCTTGTTCCCAATGTTCGATTGAATGTGAAGCCAACCTATGATAATTTTTTTTTCTTCTTTTTAAGATCGCCCTCCCCCTCCTCAAAAAACGATCTCAGCCCAGGTGCGTTCAAATGGGCTGAAATTTGGATCATATGTTGGAATTGACGTGAGGAGACTGTGGTAAAGTTTTCAGCTCGATACCATGATGTTTGATAGAGATATTAACCAAACAAGGGCCAAAAATAGCTCATTTTGCGACGAAGATTTCTCGATCCAGGCTCTTCCATCATATTTAAATTTTTTTGTTGTTTTAAAGAGCATATCAGAATACAGCGCACCACAGAGTCCTTTTTTTTAAATTCTTACTTTTTTAGCGGAGAAAGAGGCTCACAAGTCCAATGACTCAAAAAACGCGTCAAAAAATGGGTGTCCAGTTACATAAGTATCTGTATATATGATAAAAAACAAAGCTTAATTAAAAAAAGGACTCTGTGATACCCTGCATCTTGACGTGCACTTTCAAACAAAAAAAATTTACATATATTGATTGAAGATCCACCGAGAATTCTTCGTCAGAAGATGAAAAAGTCATAAACCGAGAAAAAATGAAAAACATTTGTTGAACTGAAATCTTTCAAGATTTTTGTGCTTTTCGACGAGTTTTGGGTATATTTGAAGAGAATAATCACCAACTGCCATATATCTTCGTGAAGTCTATATAAATACACTTCTTCTTCATGGCTTGTTGAGTTTGATTACATAAGTAGTTCTATGCTCTTCGACATAATCGCATTGAAGTTGGACGAAAACATTGTGCTACGATCAATTGTATATTGTCTCGATCCTATTTTTATTATAAATTATATTCATAATAAATATTTCATGACGTCTAGATGACTAAACCATTAGTCATGATTTGTAAAAATGGACATGACAGGAAGAAAGAGTAAGCGGATGAGTGAGCTGGAGAGAAAGAGGACGCACCAACATAACGGCATCAATGGCAGATTGAGATAATCTACCCCAAGAGATAAAAGAAGTTGGAAAGAAGAAGAATAAGTAACAATTTATTAAACAATTTTTTTATGTGTTTTTTTTGTTATATCTTAATTTTTTAAA